GGCCTTGCACAGCCCTCACAACCCAACTGGCAAAGTTTTCTCTAAGGAAGAGCTTGAAGTGATCGCTGAAGCCTGCTGCAGATGGGATTGCCTTGCTATAACAGATGAAGTATGAGAATATTTTTGTTAATATTTGTGAAAAGTGAAACACGTATACGGTTGAATACGTCACTTGTTTAGAACATGCATGATACACGCTTCTACAATGTCTCACTGAACAGTTCTAAAGTGTGGAGACCTTTGTCCCAATGTAGACTATATAAGCTGGGTAAAACTATAAGTTTTTTTAAGTTGTTTATTATTATTTTTTTCCTGAAGGTAGTATTTGAATTTAAAACATGAGGTTATGCATAGGTGTCATTCTCCTTTTTTTTTTTTTTTTTTTTGGGGGCTAAGTAGGTCGCTTTCCAGTTGATTACCGGATATTAGGCAACACTTCATATTGTCATTTTTTACAAGGCTTGAACTGAGCAGAGTGCTGATGAAGTACCTAGAAGAACAGTACGCATAAAGAGAGGAATTTAAAACCATTGCTTTTATATATATGGACAGAATTGCAAATATCAGAAGTTCATCTTATAATACACTTGACATCATGCCGCTATTTGTCAAATTCCCTAACTGAAATGAACATTCTGAGTGGTTAATTGCCATGTAATTTTTATTCATTTTTCCTTAAGCAGAGTGCAATTATCATCTGTAATCTGTAGTGGCAGTTCTGTCTAAAAGAAAGAAAACGTTGACCTATTTCATTGATGTCTGAGGATTGCTTTGTCTTCATACTTGTTTCTGCAGGTATATGAGCACATAACATTTGATGACAAGAAACATATATCTCTTGCCTCACTCCCAGGAATGCAAAAGAGAACCATCATCACATCCTCCTTGTCTAAAACTTTTAGCGTTACAGGTCAAATAAAAAACATCTTATCCACAGAATTTAGGTCTGAATTTGTTTGGGTTGATGTCTCATTTTTTTCTTAATACCTTTTTCAGGTAGATGTGCCACAATCATTTTCCTCTGTCCACTGTATTGTGGCATAATTTCCAGTCCCCCTTAATAACTGGTTCTTAATTATTACGTCTAGTTTTGATATAGAAACAGAGTGATACTCACTGTTATGAGTATTAGGTTGGAGAATTGGATGGGCTATTGCTCCAGCTTTTGCTGCATCTGCAATCCGAAACATTCATGTGAAAATTACAGATTCTGCTCCAGCACCTTTCCAAGAAGCTGCCTTAACTGCTTTGACAAGCCCCCCTGAATATTTTGAAGGACTGAAAAAAGTAGGTTCCTTGGACATAGCCATGTTTTAGTCTTTTACTTGTCACTGTGGAGTAAATGACCATTGCTTACTTATTGTTATAACACAGCCAAAATGCAAGATCATGATAATGCTCTCACCGTCACCTTTTTGCATATTTATTTTCTATTTATGAGCAGGAATATGAATTTAAAAGGGATTTCATTGTGAAGGTGCTCACCTCGATTGGTTTTCAAATTCATTTTAAGCCTCAAGGTTCCATCTTTTTATTTGCAGAGCTTCCTAAGAATTGCTTGCTTTCTGATGTAGGTAGATGTACATTTTTTTTCTTTTTAAACTTTGGAGCTTCATTCATTCTAAGAATTGATCATATATTAATTTGACTTTTATAATGCCAGAAATTCTGCTAATAGTTTGTTTATGTGGTATAAATGATGATTCTGTTCTTTCCAGGTAGAATATGTTAAGGAATTAATAAAAGAGGCAGGGGTGGTTGCTGTACCAGGATGTGGATTTTTTCATACAAAGCTTTCTATGGAACCATTATCTGAGGCAAGTTGCAGCTACCAGAAGAGATATGTAAGGTTTGCCTTCTGCAAAAGTATTGCTACTTTGGCAACCGCTGCACAAAAGCTTAGTGATCTTAAGAATGCTACCACGGATGAACACTCCTAGTATGCGAGGTGAGTTAAGGTATGAGAGAGAATTCTCTTTTATTGTATAATCTAGATAAAAAAAAATGATATGCTTACAATGTCATGTGATATTGTAAATTTATACTATGTGTTCTTATATAATTAATTCTTTTTATTCATGAGTCCACATGTAATATTTTATGAGCCTACTCGATAAATGTGACATTATATTTATTTAATGTTTTATAGGATTGTAATGTGATATAGGTTTGTAAGTTTACAATCTTACATAATATTATACGTATATTATTACCGTTATATGATTGACTTTTTTCACTTAGTTAGACATAGGAATATATGCATCAAGTTCTTTAATATCAAATCATTATGTTTTAGTTCATATCTTGATATATCAAAGATAAAACTCATGGCTAATATGAGTAATTCAATTTCCAATGATATCATCTAGTTTGATTTGTTGGAGAAAATAAGATCACCTGATTGAAATTAATTTGGATTTGTTCCTTAAGTAGACTTTAATTAATCAATAAAATTCAGTGCTAGTGATAACCGGATTAAAATCAATTTGGATTTGTTTCTCTTAATTTTTTTTTAATTTTTCTTTAACTTTTCCCATCCTCCACATTTCCCTTTCTTAAAAAAATAAGAAAAATGATTCCACATTTCCCTTTGTAAAAGAAAAAAAAAAATTCAGATAAGATATTATTTGATTGAATGATGCCTTTGTTTGTATTAAGGGTGAGCATTGGAGATGGGTACACCTGTTTCTTGTGAGTATATTATTTGTTTAGATAAGTTTCATACCCGAACTACAAAAAAATTAGGTAAGTAATGGGTATAAAAACTATATATCCGTAAGTATCAAATCAAGTAACAAATATAAGAGTTTCGAATTGTTTACTAGATTTGTTTATCCAACTTGTTTAACTGACTTGTTATTGTAGTTATGTAATTGAAATTTTACTTATATTTATATACTTTATATGCATATAATAACAATAATTTTTTAAAATAAAAATAATAAAACATAGAAATAATCCCTAATCTTAAAAAATCACATATAATAATAGCAACTCATATAAATAAAAAAAGAAAATAGTGCTTATCCGCCTTACCTCCTAAAGATTAGGAGGAATATTATTTTAAAACTATATCATTTTAATAAAAATCTATTGAAAAAGACTAAAATATCATATTTTTAAAGCATGCATTAGAGTGTTTTTTGTCCTTTTTCCTCTTAATTTTTTGAAAGTAAGACGGACAAATACTAACCCCAATAAAAAAATCCAAACCATACACAAGACACGCAATAATATTAATTCATACAAGGCCTCTTCTTTCCTTAAGTCAACTACACAAATATATATCCATAAGTTACCTAATAACTATTAGGTTAGGTACCAAGTCAAGGTATTCAAGTCTTTGGCTAAGTATTAAGTCTAAAAAATTATACTTGAAAAATTTTAAATTAAGCTTTAACTATAACTTATATCCGATTTATACCTAAAAATGCTCACCACTAGTTTGTATGGTCTTCTAATTGGATCGGATTATTTTATGCAGAAACATTGGGTCCATTTTGTTGAATGGGGCCGTCACTTAATGAGGACCAGAAGCAGCCTGTTTTAACATTCTACTCTAATTTCCATTTATCGTTTCGCTTCTGTCTAATCTTTTTACTATTTTTAGTCTGATTTCCAATACCACTATTCTTTTTTTTTTTTTTACATTTAATTATGAGTTATATAAAAGGAAATAATCCTACTTTATTCCCAAATCCCTCTTTATTTGACTTAAGACTCGAATTTAAGATTTTTAAATTAAAATTTTAAGTTTTTAATTATTAAACCA